AGTGATCAAAACAGAAAGACATGCAGGGTCTGGGTCTGCCTGCAAACCTCTGCTCAGTTAATGCATTTGTGCTTCACGAGATTTCTCCTTGCAACAAAGTGCTCTCCAGCTTATTTTCAATTTAAAGAAACCTGCACTCACTCCGAAGTCCCCAATTGGTTGTGGAAAAAGGTAAGAGATGAGTTTGCTATACAAACTCTTAGAACCTCCTCCTTCTTTGACATGCGGTTTTAAACACTATGATTTTGAAAGGGGGAAAAAACCCACGCCTAATTTTATTTTTAAATCAAGGCCCAGATTACAAAACACAAATTTAAGTTTTAATTGGGGTGCAACTACATGCTTAGACCAATGCACTTGGCATTACTTGTTAAAGAAGACTGACTGTAAGTGCACACCGTTTCTTTTAGTAAGGAGAAAAATCTACATCCTGCTCAGCAGCAACAAGACTGATGCTACTGATCTTATATTGAAGGCTTTTCACAACTGCACAGGAGCAGCGGCATAAGACTATTAAAACACCTTGGGTCTAGGGATTTGGTTAGAAGGCAACATGAGGCACAAATTACCTCTATCCATTCTAGTTGCAACTCAAACATTTCTTGCCAGTATGATGCCAGTTTGGTTGTAGTGGTTGGGAGGGCGGACTCTAATCTGGGAGAACTGGGTTTGATTCCCCACTCCTCCACATGCAGCTGCTGGTCTGACCTTGGGTCAGTCATGAGTTCTTTCAGAGCTGTCCTTGAAAAAGAGCAGTTTCTGTCAGAGCTCTCTCAGCCCCACATACCTCACAGGGTGTCTGTTGTGGGGAGGGGGAGGGAAAGGAGTTTGTAAGCCACTCTAGACTCCGAGTGAAGGGTGGGGTATAAATCCAATTTCTTCTCCTCCTTCTCCTCCCCCCCCTCCTCCTCATACAGCACAATCTACAAGTGTTATCAACAGGGGGGAAGCCATGGTTATAAGACATTGCTTTCCTTCATTATCACTGAATGAACTATTCAGCATCATAGCTGAAGTTTGTGAATTAAGAAATTATTTTATCTGTTGAATTTTAAACATTTTGGACAGTGACAGACATTTGATAGCAGGCGGCTGCAATGGCTGGTTGGCCGCTTTATGAAGCAGCGCCATCTGGAGGCTATTCTCAAGAAAAGCAGGAAAGGTCTTTCCATTGGGAAATCTATTCACTTAGGTCTAATCTGTTCCTGTAGCTGGTTGGCTCTCTTTACCACTTTATTTACCTTGAAGCCAGTCTTGTTTGTAAGAGCACATTGGCGACTCTTAAGTGTTTCCTCCATTGCCACTACCAGCTGCAAATTCAGTGCCATATTCTTGTATTCTGAAACTAGAAGCAATCTTTTTTTTTTAACAATTTTTTACAAAAACAGAATCAAATACGGAGGAGCAGTTAGCCAATAATGTGCTCTCTCTCATTCCTCCCCCCCCCCAGGTTCATCATCAGATTTTCAAAACCAAAGGAGACTGGATGGGCGGAGGGGGGTGCATTAACGACGACTAGTTTTGAAGGAAATTTAGACCATCAACACTGCAAATTTTAAAGAGGTGGACTATAAGAACAGCCTGCCTTGGATCACAAGAAAACAATTCTAACAGTGGCCAGCGAGGAGCCACCAGTGGCTCACGCCAATCACAACAGTACCAATACCAGAGATCACTCACAGACAAGGTAGTGATTTCTGCACACTTTGAAGACTCCCCAGGTCTGCAGAAACACATGATTAAGAAATTAATCAGGAGGAACACCTCATCACCACTGTCCCAAAAAAGTCTCATTAGAACTACACAGGGCACCTCGACCACTGAAAGCAGCTGAGGGTCAGGTGAGTGGGGGGAAAGCAGAGGAAGACAGGAAACTGGCCTGCCCAATCTCCGGAGAGGTTACAGGATTCTGAAAGGGGATAGGTGGATTTCCACATTATTTGCTCTCCCTGCCCCCGTCTGATTACTTAAAATCTCCCTCCCTTGTACTTTTGATTACAAGATTCTGAGAAAAGGCCATCATCTTCATACGCTGCTTGTGATTTTCCAGGGGCATCGTGGTGCTGCTACTGCAAACGGGATGCAGCTACACCACATGAGCACGAGGTCTGATTAAGCAAGGCAACTGCTATGTTCGTACTACAAAGTTGAACATGAGAGATGAGGGGCTTTTCCCACCTCCATTTCCTATTTGTCCAAAGACTACTTGGACTCTCTGGGATTAGCCATAGATCTGAATGTGAAAGCGGGCAATGTTTCAGACACTTATGAGTGTCCCCACAAGTTTCTAAATTAAAATGTGGAGCTAACAAGTGAAGTTCTGCAATGCTATGACATTAGGCCTTTGCTCACTGCTAGAACCAGAGCTCCCTCAAGTGGCCCAAGGATTAACTAGTCCAAATTCAACCTCAACAAGATCAGAACGAGAAGACACTAAGAAAGGAAAGATAGGCCTGTGGTTTACAAACTTTCTAGTAATTCCCACCCAGTGCTGCTGCATCAGTCTTAAGAGTATGAAATCAACTTGGGTTCTAAGGATGACATAATTGCACAACATTACTACTAACAAGATTCATATATTCCACTGCAGAGGGCTAAGGCACTTCACATGCATTACCTCAGTGCAAGGTAAGTTTGTATTATTATCCCCTTCTTCAGATGGCAGGGCTGAAAGAATAGTTTCTGACTAAGCATCTTTAGACATCTCAGATTGCAGAAGGCACTGCTTGCACACTTTCAGGCATATCTCCATTGTCATACGGATGAAAATATAGGGTTTTTTAAATATAGGGTTCGGGAGCCGCACTTGCATAAGTTCACATGCATCACCAACAAATATTCAAAATTATGCCCTCGGTTCCTGACAAAAACAGTGCATTTATTCAGTTTTATGTATTTATTGATTGATTGATTGATTTGATTTTTACCCCGCCCTCCCTGCAAGCAGGCTCAGGGCAGCTTACAAAAGATAAAACATAGAACAATTATAACATAGACAAAACCGTATAAAACCATACACACAATCTGAAGTGCTAAAGGGCTAGCTACCGTAGTTAGTTGTAATTAGTACCCAGAGATGGCGGCAGTGATATAGTAGTGTGTGCTTTGCTCATCAGTTTCCCATTCTTATCCTATATATACGGCTGGTACAGGCTGTAATTAGGGCACGGGCTCTATCTTTCTCAAGTATCATTATGATCCTTGTTAAAGTGTTGTTGTTGGTGTTATCCACATAAAACAAAGAAGTAAGCAGGTAGCTACACAAAACAGAAAAGTAACATACACACACACACAACCCCATGGACGAAGGTTGTGGCTTTTACAATGCCTAACACTGCATATAAACTGCTGAATGGAGGATCCCATTAAAAAACCCACATATTTGGGGATAGCTATTTTGTTTTCAAGGGAATACCTTTTTTTGTTTTTGAGGGAATAGCTTTTTTTTTTAGAGAACAGCTTTTTTAGTTTTGGAATTATCTAGATATCATATTAAAGGTGATGAAGATATTGATTATAGTTTTAATATTTTTATTTGTATTCCACTAGTATTTAAATATTTAGTAAGAATAAAATTTAGATTTAGACAAAGGATTAAGACAATATTCAGGCTTTAACAATGATTTAATTTTAATGTAGATGTTTAACGGCTAAAGATGTAATCTCTTTTATTGTTATCGCTAACATTAGGGAAGTTATTGTTTATTCTTTTAAAGAGATAATCTATCCCAAAACACTGTAATATTGATGTTTTATTGTCTGCTTCTGTAATTGAAATATGTAATACATCTGATAATACATTTGATTTTACTTGTTGTATGTAACAACTCATACTATTTGATAAATTTGATGAATCTATATTTCCCCCTACCCCTCCTTCCCTTTTATATCCCACTTTTTTCAAGAAAATAAAAAATAATAATTAAAAAAGCAAACATTCAATGTTACTTGCAAGTAAAAAAATTATCTTGAATCGGGGGCACTAATGAAGGGGAAACAGGCTGCTTACCTGTAACTTGTTCTTCAATTTGTTACCTGTGCACTGACACTGATGGGCCTGGGCCTGCCCAGAGCTAGGATTTGGAAATGTCTAAAGCTGGCTGTCATGTGTGGAGGTCTGCCCCCAGATTTGCAGCTAGGAGTGAGCATGCCCAGAGTGGGAGAAGCCATGTCTTCCTGCTCAGTTCCTTCTAAAATGTACAGGGAGGCCACAGCAAATTAAAGAGGCACCGGTTGCAGGGAAGATGGGTGGCAACCACTCAAAGAACAGCTACAAGCAAGCAATCTGTTTTGTCTCCTTCATGGTCTCCAGGCATCAGACTGATGGGTACAGATTAGCAAACTGACCTCCCTGGAGGTGAGTACAGGTGCTACAATTAAAGAGAAAATGTAGCACTACTAAGCCGAAGGAGGCAGCTGTAGCCCAGCTGGGCATAATGCTCCAAGAGAAAAACCTCAAGGAAAGGATTCCCAATTGATGGTGCTGCCACAGCAGATGAAAGAGAACGGAAGGGGAGGTTTGTCCTGCACTGGGCATGCACGGTCCAAGCTGTGACCTTGAGCAGGAGGAGATCTCTCTCCTAAAAGCTAGCTCTAGAAGTTTCCCAGTCCTAGCTCCAAGCAGACCCACAGCCCATCAGTGCAAATGCACAGGCGACCACTCCAAGAAGAAGTGTTCATATTTGTTAACAAACCTCTGACCATTTTCCTCCAAATCATTCCTCAAGCCAGTTAATACTTCACTTACCAGCTACCCAACTTCCAAAGCTGTGGCTCCTCAGACGCGCTATATCCTTGGTAATTGGTTAGGCCAGGCCTATGCCCGTTATGCTCCACCAAACCTACGGGAACCATGTATGGCAACCTTTCAGATCCTTGACCAT